GGGGGCTATGATCAGGATGTAAAGTGAATAAATGAATTTTTTTAAGAAGAAGAAAAAAACAGATCAACAGGAAAAAAAAGAATTCTCAAAATTGAGCATAATTACGAACAAATTCCTACGAGAGGTTTGGTGTCATTTTAAAGCTGAGTATATAACTGTTCAAAGATTTTTCTATATAAGTTAATCAACAATTAGAAGAAACGGATTTAAAAATTTTTGTAAAGGACACAAATTGAGGGAGTATGCACCAGGGAAAAGTTGGAGGAGGGTAAAATATTCAAAACATGTATGAAAGTCTCAAAGAACTAACAATAATTTTTAAAAAGCAAGACAATAGCAAATGTTGAAAGCAAGTATTTTATTAAAAGTAAAAATTTGCTTGACATCACTTAAATATAATAAATTTGTTTAAGTTTTAAAGATGAGTTGGGGGAAAAAAATATACTGTCACAAGGCAAACATGCTTACAAAGACCTTTTGAGGACATATGCTACCCAGCAACAAAATATCCATTTTGTAAACTCCATTTTCCTGAAGTTTTAAATATAATGATCATTTTATTTTTTCAATGAAACATTAATAACAGGAAGCAGTATTGTAGATTATGACCCTAAAGATTGGAAACTTGATTTTTTTAAATCTCTCCATACTGATTCATGAGGAGCCTTATTCTTATTGACATAATAGGTTACTAATTTCTAAAATTCCCATACTCTCTCCAAAATAGACTAATAATTTCCTAGTGACTTCTAGCAAATAAAGAGTAACAGGAGCAAGGAACATGCCAGACTGAATATGAGATTAGAGAAAAAATCTAGTTAAAAGGTTTAAGATGGAGTGGACACACAAAAGGAAGGCTCCACACCAAAATGATCACACACTTTTTGCAGACAGGGAGATATTACAAATTAGGAAGTAAGGTCATCACATTGCTGCTTAAAGGTGTTTGAAATAAAAATAGAAGGGAAGGGAAAAGGTGGCCATCCGCTGAAGAAATTCTGACAAAGCTCAGTACCTACCCCATCTCTAGCCATTCTTCTTCAGACTGGGAAAAGGGAAGCTTTAGCGGAGGTCAATAAAGCTAAAAACAGTATGGGGAAGACGAGGAGTAAATCGAGGCATCTCACAAATTGGCTGCAGATAAGAACTACTAAGCATTTTACCAGGAGGCAAAGGATCTGGATCAGATCTACTCGTTACTAGCTTTTGATTCTGAGACCATTTTTTTCCATTTTGAGCACTTACTTTGTATGGCCCATTTGTGCAGCAGCATGAATAGGTAATTGCCAATTATCTTCATTACAGTGAAGATCAGGATCTGCCCCACTGGACAGCAAAAGCTCCACACATTTTGTATGACCTTCTTGTGCAGCAATAAACAAGGGAGTGGCTTTGTCTAAGGCTTGGCAATTGACATTTGCACCTAACACAAAACAAAATATTTAAGCAACAATCCTCACAGATGTTTAAAGAAAAGAAAAAAGCTGATAACATAAATTTCAAACTGCCATAAAAGGCTTTCATAGTACAACAGCTTTTACCCTTACTGGATATGGATACTATTGGAAAAATAGACTTATTTTACTAACCTGTTTACAATCATTTAAATTGTTTTTGCTCTGCATTAGTAAGAACACAAATGATCACATTTTAGAATTCACTCTAAGAAAAATCCTATTCAATGAAGGCTACTTATTTCAATCCCCCTCCCAATAAGCACTATAGGTTCAAAGTACAAATATTTTTTAAAGATTTACTTTAACGTCTACTTATGATTTATGTGTGTGTACACACATATCTGTGCATGTGAATTCAAATATCCATGAAGGCTAGAAGGGGTATCAGATTCCCTTGGAGCTGGAGTCCATAAGTAGTGAGCCCATCTAACATGGGTGCTGGATCTGAATTCCAACCTTCTGCGAGAGCAGTACATGCTCTTAGCCACTGAGCCATCTCTCAATCCCCAAAATATCTTGTAGAGAGTCTGAGAAAAGAGGATCACAAGTTTGAGGCTAAACTGTCCTAAAAAAATAATAATAAATATGAATAACATTGATGATAATTCCAAGGAAAGTGTAAATTATGAGATTTTACTGATGTCACTAAATAATTTTTGGACTAAGATTTATGAGGCTGAACATTACCAATTGATATGGCTTCCACACATGTGGTGCACTATTAAAACTATAAAATACTATTACATGCCTTCCTTTATAAGTACTACATAGTAAAGGCAACAATAAATGGGAATGATATTTTTAATGGAGCTGAGTTGATTTTAAAACAAAAACTCTGTTATTTTAATACTACTATAGAGAGAGTTGAAAAGGCAGCCAGGCATGGTGGTGTTTGCCTTTAATCACAGCATTTAAGAGGCAGAAGCAAGCCGTTCTCTGTGAGTCTGAGGTCAGCCTGGCCAACATAGTGAGTTCCAGGACAGCCAAAACTATATAGTGCAATCCTGTCTCTACAAACAACAAACAAAAAGCTTTTAAGTGTCCTTAATTGTTAAGAAACTTTTGAAAAACAGCAGATTTCCCTAATCATCTTACCAGCAAACAGCGCATTAAATATGTTAAGACTCATACTATTACATGACCATGCCAATTTTAAAATTTCTCTAATATATCTCAGTAGAAAACCACTACAAAAAATAGAAAAGATTGACTGTCTTTTTATCAAAATGATCTTAAATAAGTACACCTTGAACAAGCTACACAGGCCAAATGAAAGACTATGTGGAAATGTCCTGAACTGCAAACAGGCAACTAGAATCTTATTTAGATGCTTCATCTGCTGTCAGATTCTGAGAGACAAATATAATCAATGAGATAAGACAAAGTCAACAGAATGATCTTCTTAAAAAAAAAAAAAATCAATCTTCTAGTTTATACGATAACTTCAAAGTAACAGAAATAAGGAACCCAGTTCCTCTAAGACTACAACTGAAAAAGTTAAAAAAAAAAAGACACTGAAAATAAAGTCATTTTTCACATGGTTACATTATAAACAGACCTTCATAACTTTTAAATTATGATTTATAACAACTTCAAAAAATTTTTACAAGAAATACAAGAATCACCATGGTCCAACTGTGCTAGCACTTAGTACCCAGAGCCTGGGCTTCTTAATGTAAAAAGTATCATTTTAGGAAGTAATTGGGGTCCAGATCTCTAAGATACAGGCTCGTCATTGCTCAGATACTTTCACCTTGAACATCACGAAGGTGAATTTCTTTCAGTTTCTATCTTGACTTAAATATGTAGATTTCTAAGGGGGGGAAAAAACAAAAATAAGAAAACTATGCCCTGGTGTCTAGGTAAATTTTGTTCTGTCTATTTGAAGGCTTTTTTTTTAAACTTTATTTTATCTTATCTTATTTTATTTGTCTCCCTATGCAGTCCTGGATGCCCTGGGACTCATTATGTAGACCAATCTGCAAATCTGGCGGTATGTCTTTCCCTCCAACTACCCATGATTTCTTAACTCCTTCAGAGCCCAAACACACATTGAGACTTTAAAAGCCGTATTAGGGTGAACCCTTCAGGTCAGAAAATGTCACTAAAAGATGTCACCATCGTCTCCAGCAGTGTTACAAGTGTAATGGTAGTGACAGAGAAACCTTTAGCTGGTAACATACTTAATAATAACTAGGACTACTCATCCCCTGACTCAAGAATCATTCTTCCTAGGAACGCTATTGAAAACAAGGATCATCTGAACATAAATGCTGTGGCCCTTACCAGATGAAATAAGTATACTCAAGCTCTCCAGCTTCCCGTACTGAGCAGCCACAAACAAAGGTGTGATTCCAAAGTCATCCTGGCACTCTTTGTCTGCTCCTCTTTTAAGAAGTAGCTGTACAGTCTCAGCGCTTCCCTAAAGCACAGACAGGTATTTTAAGTTAGGAAAAACTCTTGCTTGTTGTGCTTTACTTTTCTCATCTTCTCAGGAAAAAAAAACAAAAAACAAAAAAACAAAACCCTACAAGAAAAAAAAAAATGCAGTCTTGTTACATTGGATGAAAAAGATTACCCTACACTTCTATACAGCCTATTAAGTATAGGCCCATTAAAGACTGGCCTCTACCAATTATAATCATTAGACCTATGTAGTTAGTTTACTAACTCAAGCAGTAGGGAGCTATCATGTTTTCTAAACATACAATTAACAATAAAACATGACATTTTTCCTTATCAGTTTGTATCCCATGTATACTGCTAGTTTCATTACTACGTGACCAACATTTTAAGCTTATATAATCCCTATAATCGAAAGCTGCTCTAGCCACTACGACAGCTGGCTTATTTAAAATGATCGCTAGTATTTAGCTAGATTGTCATTTCTGTACTGTACTAACTATCATAAATCACAGGTAAACAAATCAAAACTGTATAGAACTGCCTTTAAAAAGTAAAACATACAATTTACATGAAAATGAAATAATAAATTCAGAGATTACCTGGAAAGAAGCCTGGTGCAAGGAATTCCATCCACACATAGAATGGAATCCATTGACATTTGCTCCATACTGAAGCAGTAGCTTCACCACATCTATCTGTCCACTTTCAACAGCTGCAATACAATAGTTAGAGAGATTAGTGTCACAAAAAAGATGTCTGTAGGCTGACACTTCAGTGATGTCCTTATGATTTTATACACCTTGGAATGGACAATACTATGATCATTCCCAAACATATCACAACTGTCTTAGCTCAATTTCACTTATATATGCCTAGGCCTCCATGTGCATGCAAAATGATATATGAAAAGACATAGACGGGAAGGAAGTAAGAAGTAAACATTTATTCTGATAATGGTGACAATGTAGCTCTAGTTTGCTAAAAATGAGGCTGAGTGTGAAACAGGGTACACAGTCCAGAATAACTAGTCAGGAAAAGCAGTCTGCCAATAAAAGACAGAAAGGGTTTTTTGTTGTTTTTTAAATCATTTTCCTATCATAAGAGCCAGGAGTAACTATTGGTAAGGCCCTGATACTTAAGACAATACTTACTTATGCCATCCAACATGGAGAAATCAGGCTGGTTCCTCAACTAGAAACTTCACCTATACTGCCTAGCATTGAATATAGTGGAAGGTACTTGGCATATAACCAGAGAAAGATAAGCATCAGGGTGACTGACTCAGTCACAACCTCTGCTGCTACTATTGTTGCTGGCCTGCCTTCCTGGTATTTGGATGGAAAGGCGTCCAAGAAACAACTGAGAGCTGGGAAGGTATCTGAGGTAGGACAGTATCCCAGGGGTCTCCTGAGACACGGGAGCCCAGGAACCACACAGCTCTGAGAGGAGGCCTCCTCAGCAGAGACACTGTAGCTCGCAGAGGAGGGTCACCCCAAACCCTGATGAGGAGCTCTGGAGACTGAGCTCTGCTCCTTCTCCAGCAGTTGTGGCTCCCAGGAGAAGGTTAACCCAACCCATGATGAGCTGAGCAGCTTAGGAGCCTAAGTTCCGCTTCTTCAATTCTTCTTTCCTCTCCTCTTTTTCACTGCTTCTTATGATGAGTCACATTAGACAATAAATCTGTTAAAAGAGATTTATTGGAGGGACGAATCCAGGAGAGGAAGGACAAATCCAAGAGTGGCTGCCTCTGCTCCCAGCAGGCAACAAGGAACTGGGCAGACAAAGTTTTTAATTCATACAGCAGAATTCTCTTTACAGGAACCAACTTCGTAAGAAGTGATCCACATTTATGACTTATTGTAGTAAGTTATTACTCTGAGGATTCCTGTTATGATATCTAATGATGATACGGCAGTGGCAGGGCGGTAGCACGGAGGGTCCATGCCAAGGTCCATACACCTGACACAAAACATCCAGGAAATCTTGGACACTACAGGAAAAAAAAAATCTAATATCTCAATTAAGGTTTCCATTACTGTGAAGAGACACCATGATAACTCTTACAAATGAGAACGTTTATGAACCTAGCATACAAGTTCAGAGGATTAGTGAGTTATCATCACGGCAGGAAGCATGGCAGTATGCAGGCAGACATGGTGCTGGAGAAGGCATTGAGACTTCTACAACAGAATCAGTAAGAAGCAAAAAGACAGAGTGAGCCATTGGACCTGGCTTGAGCAGGTGAAACTTCGAAGCCCATCCTTAATAAGACACTTTCTCCAACAGGTGTCGGGAGCCGTGACTCCAAGCAGCCAGCTTTGATATTTAAATCTCGGTGGAGAGATGGCTTTTAGCAGGCCTTTAGTAATGGCAGAGAATTTGCAAGTCCATCTCCTTTTGTTTGTGACAGCAGGTAGGAGAGCTTATGAGGATCACACCTCTTCCTCAGGCTCCTTGTGCAAATTAAACCATTGTTCTGAGATATTTCTACTCTGGCTTAGAAACTCTACAATAAAAAGACAGTTACTGCAGAAGAAGGCTGACTCTTGTGTAAACAGGACACAAATAAAGCAACTAGATACAATGTTGTGCAATGGGAGGAGCCAGAGGACAGGAAAGAGGGGAGGAGCTAGAGAACAGGAAGGGGCGAGAAGGAGCAGGAGCTCCAGGAAAAAGCACGAGAAGAAAGCACGAGGAGGGCAGAGCTGGAGGAGAGAGCTTGGAGGACGTGGAGCATGAACCAGACCTAAGATTTCACAAATAGCAAGTATAACGTGGGAAATCTAAGTTAGGAAACAGTAAGCTGGAGGCAGAGACTTGAGGCTTGCTGTTGGCACTGCTTGCTGCAGCAGTCTGCCTTTTGCTGTCGAGTCTGGACCTTTAAAAAAAAGTTTCCTGTGTGCTGTATGTTTATTTAAATAATATTAATCCTCACTCCCGACTCAAGAACCGTTTGACTCTGCTGGCTGGCTCCGGCAAACAGGTCGACACCTCCCCATAGTGCCATTCCCTAGGGGCATATGCAGGTCATTTTCATTCAAACCACTATACCTAAGAATAATAGAAATAGAAGGAAAAGAATCCCACCTCAATGTTCCAGAAAACATTTTTATTAATCTATTTATTCACTTTACATCCTGACCATAGCCCCTTCCCCTCTCCCCCTTATCCGACCCTCCCTCGTTCTCTCTTTCCCCTATGCCCCTCTACTACTCAGAAAAGGGGAGCCTCCCCTACTAACCCACCCCAGCACATCAAGTCGCATCAGGACTGAGCGTATCCTCTTCCCCTGTGGCCTATTGAGGCAGCCCTACCAGGGGGAAGTGGTCAAAATCCAGGCAACAAAATCCATATTAGAGATAGCCTCTGCTCCCCTTAGCTGAACACCCACATGAACCCCGAGCTGCCCATAAGCTACATCTGTATAGGGGGACTAGGTCCAGTCCATGGATGGTGCTTCAGTCTCCCCAAGGCCTTCTGGACCTTTGTTGGTTGCTCTGTTGGTCTCCTTATGAAGCTCCTGTCCCCTCCAGGTCCTTCTATCTTTTCCCCCACTTTTCCAGAAGACTCTGTAAGCTTCACCCCATGTTTGGCTGTGAGTCTCAGCATCTGTTTCAATCTGCTGCTGAAAGGAGCCTCTCAGAGGACAGCTATGCTAGGCTCCTGTCTACAAGCATAGCAAAGTATCATTAATAGTGTCAGGAGTTGGCTCTCTCCCATGGGGTGGGCCTCAAGTTGTGCCAGGCATTGGTTGGACATTTCCTCAGTCTCTGTTCTATCTTTATCCCTGCACATCTTATAGGCAGGGTATATTTTGGTAAAAGTTTTCATGGGTTGGCTGGTGTTCTCCTCCCTCCACTAGGAGTCCGGTCTAGTTAGAGGGTGTCCTCTTTAGCCTCCATGACCCCTGCTACTAGGAAATCTCAGCTAAAGTCATCTTCATATCCTCCCAGAAGCCTACCCTGTCGTAGGTCTCCAGCTTGTCACACAGACGGCCCCGCCCATGGTTTCTCTTCTTCTCTGCTGGCCCTCTGTCCACCCCCTTCCCTGATCGCCACAGGGCTGATCCCCTTGTTTCTCTCTGTGCTCCCTCTCCCACCTTGTTTCCTCTCTTTAACCAATTCTGCTGTCTGTGCTATTTCCCCCTCTGAGAATATTTAAGCATCCTCCCTTGGGTCCTTCTTGTTACTTCTCTGGGTCTGTGAATTGTAGTATGTTTATCCAGTACAGGCTAAAATCTGTTTATAAATGAGTAGATATCATATGTGTCTTTCTTGTTCTGAGTTATCTCACTCAGATGATCTTTTCTAGTGCCATTCATTTGTCTGCAAATTTCATGATTGCCTTCTTTTTAACAGCTGAGCAGTATTCCATTGTGTAAATATAGCCCAGTCCTTATTCATTCTTTGGCCAAGGGACATCTAGGTTGTTTCCAGATTCTGGCTATTACTAATAAAGCTTCTATGAACATAGGTGAGCAAGTGTCCTTGTTGTATTGGTAGAACACCTTTTGGGTATATGCCAGTGGTGTTAAGAAAATTTATATATCCTAAAAAAAGAGATGCCTATCTGGAACAGCCATATCCACTGAAAACAGCTAATGTCATGTAGCCAGCACAGCTGTGTGACACAGATCTAGTAAAGCTGAGCCCAATGTTATACTTGCTGTCATTCTGTCTCTCACTTTTAGGTTTTGGTCTCTGTATATTGCATTCTAGGAGATTCTCTGCAGTATGATTCATTTTATGTCTTTTCTGTATGAAAACTGTATGTGAATATTTTTAGGAAAGTCCTAAACTTACTATCCCTTTTGCATTTAGGGAATTTTTTTTTTTTTTTTTTTTTTTTTTTTTTTTTTTTTATCTAAACAACTGGCCCTATTTGGAAGTCTTCCTTATGTCCTGGAGATCATGATAAGCACAGATAAGCACTAGGAATTTATAAATGAGGCTACACCCAAGAAAACACAGGAAATAAATAATTTCACATCAGCAAAAAGAAGAAAAACACAGAGACAGACAGACAGACAAACACACACACACTACAACACCAAAACCACCATCACAAACAATAAAATAACAGGAATCAACACTAATTGGTCATTGATAGCTCTCAATATAAACAGTTTCAATTTCCCAATTTAAAAAAAAGACACAGAATAAAAGAACGGATGCATAAAGGGGATCTATTGTTCTGCTGCATCAAAAAAAAAAACAAACCTCAATTCAACATCAAGGATAGACATTACTTCAGTGTAAATGAATAATGTAATGAAAAAGTAATAAAAAAGATATTCTAAGCAAATGGACCTATGAAGCATGCTAGTGTAGCCACTTTAATATCTAACAAGATAGACTTCAAACCAAAGCTAATCAAAAGAAATAAGGGAAAGACACTAAAAATGCATCAAAGAAAAATTCCATAAAGATACCATTTCAGTTCTTAACATCTATGCCCCAAACACAAGTTTGTAAAAGAAACACTACTACAGCTTAAATCATACACTGATAGTGGGAGAATTTGATACCCCTATCTCCTCAAAGATTAAGTTATTTAGACAAAAACTAAACAAAGTAATACCAAAGTTAACAGATGCTGTAAACCAAAAGGACCTAACAGATATTTACAGAACATTTCACCCAAACAAAAAACAATGCACCTTCTTTGCACCTCATGTATCTTTCTCCAAAACTGAACACATACTTGGATACA